TCAAAAAAAAAAAAAAAAAAAGTTGGGGGTGGGAGGGTTGAGAATGAATGTGAGCCATCTTACAATGTCTGTCTCAATTAGTATTAAAAACCAAATTCAGGTTATTTGTATGTTTCTCCACTATTCTAACGCTCTAAAGTATGGTTTAATATTGCAAAAAGCTATAAGCACAAAAATTTACAAGTATCTGATCATATATATGATATCCTTTTCTTATTTTGGGGGGGATTTTGTTTTAAGTCTAAGTCTCACCCTGTCGCCCAGGCTGGAATACAGCAGCACACTCATAACTACCACAGCCTCACCCTGTTAGGCTCAGGTGATCCTTCCGTCTCAGTCTTCCAAGTAGCCAGAACTACAGGCGTGCGCCACCACACCCGGCTAATTTGTTGGATTTATTGCAGAGTCAAGGGCTCGCCAAGTTACCCAGGCTGGTCTCAAACCCCCCGGACTCAAACAATTCTCTTGTCTCTGCCTCCCAAAGTGCTGGGATTACAGGCATTAGCCACAATACATGGCTTTTACGTTTTGCAACCTGATAAACACAGATCTAACTTCCTTAATTATTTAAATAAAGGAATTAATTTACAGCAATTCTTGCAGAAATACAGAGAGAAAGAAGAGAAGTGGTAAGAAAAACTGTTCCAACTACCACAAGAAGACCAAGCAGTGGACCACGGGGCAACCCAGGCCCTGGAAGACCAAATAATGAAACCAGACCCAGTGTTCAAGAGGACTCAGAACCCTTCAACCCGGATAATCCTTACCACGTGCGTGCTGGTGTTTTCATGACGTGTTCAGACAAATGCATTAAACATAGAACTGAAGTGGTATTTCTACTTGAGGTTTTCAATGAGCATTTAGCATTCAACTAAGCCTTTGTTTTATTATTTTATTATTTGAGTTGGAGTCTCACTCTGTCGCCCAGGCTGGAGTGCAGTGGAACACTCATGGCCACCACAGCCTCAAACTACTGAGCTCAGGTTATCCTTCCGCCTCAGCCTTCCAAGTAGCTGGAACTACACGTTTGCCATTATGACGCCCGGCTAATTTTTTGATTTATTGCAGAGACGAGGTCTTGCCAAGTTACCTAACCTGGTCTCAAACCCCTGGGCTCAGGCAATCTTCTCGCCTCAGCCTCCCAAAGTGCTGGGATTATAGGCTTGAGCCACCACACCCGGCTATTTGATTACTTAAAAAATGTCTTCATCTATTTGTTGCAAGGCTTATAATTAAGGGCAAGAACAATTAGGCCTCGCCTCTGTAGTGTAAAATTCTGATTGGCTGGGAATATGTACAAAGTTGTTTCTGTGTTCTCCTTTTGGGGTCACGTACAAATTCATGAAAATGAATTCATATCAGGAATTTATTTTAAAATGTTTTCTAGAGGGTTCTCTGGAGGCAACACGTGGAAAGTATTCTCTCTTGCCCTTTACATCCACGTTATTCGTTCATTCAACAGACATTGTATGAGTACCTGCTCTTCCTTGGCCCTGTACACATAATCAGGAGTAACTTCCGCCCTCAGGGGCTCTCAGTCCAGTCAGAGTAGACTCACATAAAACACTTGAAGTTGAAAACTGATGTTTGTGAGGATGACACTAAGGTGCTGAAAATTCCCATCTTCCATGAAGTATTAACTATTTCTATACTTTGCAGGAAGTGAAAGTAGAATCGTAGGTATTTATGTGTAGCTAGCTTTTAAAATAAAAACATGCACATATGTTAAAAAACAGCACCAGCCAGACCCAGTGGGTCACACATGTAATCTCAACACTTTGGGAGGCAGAGGCAAGAGGACTGCCTGAGCCCAGAGGTTCGAGATCAGCCTGGGCAGCTTGGCAAGACCTCGTCTCTACAATAAATACAAAACTTAACTGGGCGTGGTGGCGTCTGCCTGTGGTTCCAGCTATTTGGAAGGCTGAGGTGGAAGGGTCACCTGAACCCAGCAGGTCGAGGCTGCGGTAGCCATGAGTGTGCCACTGCACTCCAGCCTGGGCGACAGAGTGAGTCAAAAAAACAAAAAAAGCAAATAAACACCCAGCACCAAAAGGTACATAATGGAAAGCGAGTTTCTCTTCCACCCCAGACACCCAGCCTGAGGAACCCCATTAACAAGGACTATTTGTCCAGTTTCTTTGAGTGAATACACACACAATTTTTAACACGAAACTTCTATACCTTGCTTTCTTTCCAGTTACAAGACAGTGCTTGGGAGATTGTTCTATAGCTCCTGCACAATACCTCATTCACTTAATGACTACTGTTCATTTAGTAGTACAGAAATCTTGTGCTTTGCTTTGGTGGGCATATAAATTATCTCCCTATCTTTTGCTGCCACAAATACTGTTAGAGTATACACCTTGAACAAGATTCCTAGGGTTATGGAAATGAGTAAATGAGGCAATGCAGGTGAAGCACTTAGCACACGGCTTGACACATAGACAAACATCAACTTGTTTAATGTTGGCTATTGGTGTTATTATACTTTGTACGCAGTATTTATTTAGCATAAATACTGAAGCATGGGTCTGCTACGTCAAAGTAGATCTACGTTTTAATGGAGGATACCAAATTGCCTTTTAAAGAATTGCATCAGCTGTGTGTCTGCAAATGGCAACGAAAGGACCCATTTATTATCAAACTTAAAATAACTTTGCCAATCTCTTGGGTGAAAATTGTACCTCGTGGTTGTTTTATCTTGCCTGTCTTTAATTATGTGTAAGGTTGAGCATTTTTCATACACGAAGTCATTTGAGCATTTTCTTCTATGTAGTTTATTCAGGCCTATACTGTGTCATATATTGCAAATATATTTTCTAGTTTACCACTTTAGAAAAATGTAGATCGAAAAATATTTTCTAAATAACCTACGGCTTATCAGAAAATTCAGGACACAATACTTCACTCCTGAGCTCAAAGAACAATAAAGAAATAAAATCTAAATAGGCAAACAAAATTGAATGTAGCTTATCCCCCAGATAGCTGGGCTGGCTGAATCTGGTTCAAGGGATGAGGGCATCAGCCTCTTTACAGAAGGGCAGGATGTGACTCTGTCCAGGTTTCAGCTTGGGTGATCCATATTCCTTGAAAAACCTCAATTAAATAAATTTTCCTTTATTATATGTTGACTTTAAGCAGAAATGCTTAAAGCATTTCTCTCCATGATCTCAGTCCGTCACACATCCCTGTCAAAAAAGAAAACAACCTGAGACTTACTCCCAACCTTTTAATCTTAACAAATCTTCGCCAAACCCTCAGGTGAAGGCATGCTTCAACCAAACGGCCTTTTGACTCCTCGTGCCCAGAAAAGTCAGTCACAATTAATGAGGTGGTTGTCTTTTTGTTGTGCCAGATGAATCTATTTAAAGAGATAAGGTTAAAAAAAAAAAATAGAGCGAGTGTAAAGAATAAAAAAGAATGGTGTGGCCAGGTGTGGTGGCTCACGCCTATAATTGCAGCACTTTGGGAGGCAGAGGTGAGAGGCCCATGGGTTCAAGACCAGCCTGGGCAACTTGGTGAAACCTCATCTGTACAATAAATAAAAAAATAGCTGGGCGTGGTGGCACATTCCTGTAGTTCTAGCTACTTGGAAAGCTGAGACCGAAGGATCACCTGAGCCCAGCAGGTTGAAGCTGTGGTGGCTGTAAGCATGCCATGCCACTGCACTCCAGCCCGGGTGACAGATACTAAAAAAAAAAAAAAATGGTGTTAAGGTAATAGATATTTTGATGTCACAATTTGAATACAGACTGTATCAATGTTGAGGAATTAATTTTGTTAGGTGTGATAATGGTAGTGTGGTTATGTAGGAAAATATCTTCTCTTTGGAGGTACAGCCTAATGTATCTACGAATGAAATGTCACAATGCCTTCAATTCTTTTTACATTCACTTCAGAATTTACTTTAAAATAGTAAATTTAAAAAGTAAAATAGTAAATACTTCAGGAGGAAAAAAAAAGCAAATCTGACAATAGGTTAGCAATCACCAAATCTAGATGGGAGTGTTTGTATACAAGTTTCTCCACTTTCCAGTATGTTTGCAATATTTGCTTTGTTTGAAATCTTTAATAACATCCCTCCAATCAAAACTTATACTACAGGCTTTTTTAGGCCAGGCGTAGTAGCTCACACCTGCAATCCCCGGACTTTAGGAGGCTGAGGTGGGAGGATTGCTTGAGCCCAGGAGTTGAAGACCAGCCTGGGCGATATAGCAAGACTTCTGTCTCTACAATTTTTTTAAAACTCAGCAGGGCATGGTGGCACGTGCCTGTATTCCCAGTTACTCTGGAAGTTGAGGCAGAAAGATCACCTGAGCCCAGGTCGAGGCTGTGGTAAGGCGTGATTGTGCCACTATGCACTCCAGCCTGGGTGACAGAGTGGAGGGGTAAAAAAAAAAAAAAAAAAAAAGAGGTTTTTAAAAATACCAGAATCAGTGACCTCTAGGAAGAGAGGCATAAATTGAGTCAAGAATTTAAAGATAGGGCTTCTTGGCAGTACAATTCAATACCATATTATAGAGTCTCTACTCCAACAACTCCCTCAAAAGGAAAAACCAGATAAGCAAATTGGGCAGGGGCAAGTTCCCTCCAGCTCTCTCTCCAGCAGTTTAAACAGATTTTTTTTTTTTAACGTCAATACAATCTTATGTATTGTAGAAACTAAAAGACGGAAACTAGAAGGTAAAGTTCAAGGTCTTGAATTTCTATGGGCCCTTTTCCTGAAACCCCTTAGTCTCAATGGAGGTAACATCTCCATTCTGTTGCAGAAACGAAGACAGGAGAAACAAAATGATTTGATAGTATTTCCTGAGCCAGTGCAACTGGAATTGAAATGTCTTTAGCCTAGATCGATGAGTTTCAAAATGTGCTCATAAGAGCCCTGGAAGCCATTACTACATGAAGGCAATAGTGTTCCACTGACTTAAAATTAGCAGTGGCAGAAATACTGCTTTTGATCATAATGCTTCCTTGTTGTTTTCCTACATAAAACGAACTAAGTCATTATTGAGGGATAATCACAGTTCATCAAAAGCATGGAGAAACTTCAGGATACCATTTTTTAAAAAAACTTTTTGCCAGTGACAGCTTGGTTGGTGAAGACTCCTTGACATCATCAGAAGGAAATCTAAATGACAGTAGGTTACAAGATTGAAAGCTCTTTACAGATTTAGCTGATTTCTTGTAGCAGTGAAAAATTCAGCATCTTATTTAAAACTTGTGTGCATACCATGACCTTTTCACTATGAAGAAAACACAAGTAATTCTCTTTTATTTCACAGCAGCAGGAAGGGGAAAGCATGACATTCGACCCTAGACTGGATCACGAAGGAATCTGCTGTATAGAATGTAGGCGAAGCTACACACACTGCCAGAAGATCTGTGAGCCGCTGGGGGGCTATTACCCATGGCCTTATAATTACCATGGCTGCCGTTCAGCCTGCAGAGTCGTCATGCCATGTAGCTGGTGGGTGGCCCGTATCTTGGGCATGGTGTGAAGTCACTTCATATATCATGTGCTGTAAAAGTAAGAATTAACTGGAGACAACCAAAGAAGCATGAGGCATGTTGATGCTGAAGGGATCACAAAGTATTTTTATACTCAACCTGACTGGTGTTACTGTAGACACTTTCTAACGGAACATTTCTCAATTGCTTTCCAGAACTTTACATAGAATGTACAAATGTACTGAAAGAAAGGGTAGTTCATGTCCAAAATGCCATCAAAATCCCTTTATTATTTGCTGTTGTTTATTTGTTCTGCTTTGCCAGTGAGGCATCCTTATGTCTTCCCAAGCAATTTTGAAATAAACATGGACATTCACAGTTTGTCAAAGATCTCTATTGAACACTTGAGTTCCTTTTAATCAAGCCATGACTAAAATAATTAAGTTACTTGCACAGAATTCCTTAACTGTTCTTAACTGTCTTTTGTTCTTCCCAGTCTTGTGAATGTGTCTCTAGAATTTCCAGATAAAAACAGGAAAAAGCAAAAACAAAAGGATATTTAATGGAATCTACTTCAAAGTGAACATTTTCAGCCTCCATGTGGAAGCTCATGGGGAATTCTTTGCCTATAGTATGTGCTGGCATGTGATTAACAGGTGGCTGACCTCTGTTGAGTCGCCACCAGGGAAAGCATTAGAATAAAGAAAAACGTAGTAAAAGGTAAGTCAGACCTGTGGGGAGGAAGGATGTTACTGACATTCTGAAAAGCAGGTTTCATACCCTTCTCAATCTGGTTTCAGTAAGTGGTCACTGGGCACGAAGAAGCATAATGACTTTTACCTTTGTAGTACAAATCAGGCTGCTGATGTAGTCCAATTACCAGTAAGTTACTCTCCTGGTAATAGGGCTGACAGTGGTGCTTGGCAGACAAGGCTGAGGAGGAATAGTTTATTTATGTATAATGACATAAAGAAAGTCCCTCAGGAACAAGGACTATCTTTAGAAACTGAAATGTTCAATCAGGAAGATGCGCAAGTGTTTCATATTTTTTGACATTTTAGTTTTGAATCTCACTGTTTAAGAGATAAACAACTTTCCTAAGGAAAATAAGTTTTCCAAAACACAGGATTCTGAGATGACAGAAAGTCTTGTTGTCATGATTTCACCACATTCCCATATTCTGAGTACAGAGTATTACTGTATGTCTGGTGTTTATGAATTAAAGTGTGTAAAATGATACAGAATTTTAAAAACACGGTTATTAGATGAATACTCAGATGCCTCCACTGAATGCAATATACAGCGAGGTAGATCCCTGGAGAAAAAAGGGATGCAGCAAAGACATATGTAACAGCACATAATAGTCACACTGTTTTCAGGCAGCAGCTACTTCCTGCAGTGATGTATTTTACATGTTTAATCTTTTAAATGGTTGTCACTCTATTAAGCAAATACATGCCAATGGTTCTGCATACCATTTTCACAACTCAGCAACCTGTACTGGGTTCTAGAAATGGATAAAGAATGACTTGGTGATCCCAGCCCAGAAGAGTGCATGGCCTCAGGAGGGATACAACCAGGGTTCAGCACAAGAAAGCTTTGATAAAGATGAAAGCAATTATTATTATCTTTTTAATGAGTTGAAGTCTCACTCCATTGCCCAGGATGGAGTGCAGTGGCATGCTCATGGCCACCCCAGCGTTGACCTGCTGGGCTCCGGATCCTTCCACCTCAGCCTTCCAAGTAGCTGGAACTACAGGCACATGCTACCGCACCTGGCTACTTTTTTTGATTTATTGTAGAGACAAGGTGTCACCATGTTACCCAGGCTGGTCTTGGACCGACAGGCTCAGGCAATCCTCTCGCCTTGGCCTCCCACAGTGCTGGGATTACAGGCTTGAGCCACTGAGCTCACTGAGCCACTGGGATTACAGTCTGAGCTTCTTGCAGAATACCTAGGTCTTCGAGGATGGGCAGGAGTTAGCCAAGGGAAGGTGACAGAGGACGACAGAGGGAGTAGCGTGAGTAAAGCCAATAGGTGTGAAGTTGCATGGTACAAACAGAAAAGCAGAGCGTTCAGGTTGAGGTAGGAAGCATCAGGAAGGAAAGGCAAGCAGCAGCTTTCTTTTCTTACCTGGCATGTAAACTTGAGTGTGAGTGAGTGAGTGAGTGTGTGTGTGTGTGTGTGTGTGTGTGTGTGTGTGTGTGTGTGTGTGTGTGTGTGTAGGAAATAGGTGCTAGCAAATAGGGAACCTGGTATGTAAACTAGAGAGAGAGAGAGAGAGAGAGAGAGAGAGAGAGAGAGAGAGAGAGAGAGTGTGTAGGAAATAGGTGCTAGCAAATAGGGAACAAATGAAAGGTTGCAGGCGAGGAGGAAGGTGGTTGAGTTTCCATCACCCTGGTAGCTTTCCATGTGAGAACTAAGCAGGTTCCAGACAGGCCAAAGAGGCATATTAACAAGGAGAGCATGTCATACAGGAAGGCTACCTCTTGAAAAGATGCTCCCTTTTCAAAACTCCATAATTAGATGAAAATATCTTAACACATTCACAACTGGCAAATTTTTCACTTTCTTAATAGTGCGGGTGAAAAAAAAAAACCCGAAGCTGGTTGCCACAAACTTCTGTTGTTAAGCATAAGGTCTTTCCTAAACTGTCACCTTTTTCACAACACAGTTGAAAGTTGCAGACGACATATCCAGTATTTGCCTCAGACACCAATCTGATTAGCATTCCATATTTTGTATTTTTATTTGGATTATAAACCGATTATATATATATTTCTTCATTTACATTGCATCATTACATCACTATCTCATATCACTAATAAGTTCACTGGATTCACCTTTAACCTCGGAAATCTCACCAGCATATATTTCTTCATTTTCCATAATTATAGTTTTGTTTTTTTTTTCTGAGTTGGAGTCTCGCTCCATTGCCCAGGTTGGAGTGCAGCGGCATGCTCATGGCCACCCCAATGTCAACCTGCTGGGCTCAAGTGATCCTTCCACCTCAGCCTTCCAAGTAGCCGGAACTACAGGCACACACTACCATGCCTGGCTAACTTTTTGATTTATTGTAGAGATGAGGTCTCGCCAAGTTGCCCAGGCTGTTCAAACCTGTGGACTCAGACAATCCTCTCACCTTGGCCTTGCTACATTATTTTTAACATTGAAGTACGAAAGCCCTGAATTATCAAAATACAAGTATACAACACTAATCACAACAACATAATGACAAACTTGCAATTTTTACTAACTATGTAAATCGATAACAGTAAATCGGGTAATTATCTCAATTAACTTTCTCCTTGCCTCACTGTTTTCAGGCAAAATGTAATAACACATATATATGACAACAACGTTGCAGCATTCAGAAACAGAATTTGCAAAGACATAAATTCATTTCAGCGGCAACCAGGAACAGAATTTGGAGTGACATAAATTCACATCAGTGGTTGCGAATGAGTTAACAGATAAAGGGATTCTATGTTATAAAAAGTCACTAAATACTCAAGGATATCAACAGAAAACAAAATCTGAAAGTTTTACGGTCAGAGAGAAAGCGTTTTTTGGTCACTTATACCTCCCTTCCATCACCACCTCAATTAATTGTGACACTAAAAATGTAAACATACTAAGAATAATTGCTTAACTCACTCAACAGTTTATTTCTTATATCAGATTTTATTATACTGAAATACAAGCTACATTTTTACAAAATAGAAACTTCTTATGAGAGTGGAATTAATTTTACTTCTCTATAAGCTATATATTTGTTTTATGAATTTTTTTATAAAAATGGTCACAATTTTTTTTATTGAGGGGGTCAGAGTTGACAAAAATCGACATGCACAGATAGTCCTAAATGCCTACCTCAAACATGAAGATGTAAATTTAAGAGTCAATGATATAAACTTTAGCAAAAACATTTTACAGGCAAAGAGTGTTTTGGTGTTTTATAAAGAAAGGTAAACTCCTTTTAAAAGCTTTTATACATATATGCATGCTCATATTCTATATGCATATATAGGTGTGCTTCAGTTTGAAAAAGTCCAATGTAGTATTAGAATCAAATTTACAAAAAAGGTTAAGTTAGTGTTGACTAACTAAAGAACTCACCACAGGTTTTATCTGAACTACTTACATTCAAAAGTATTCCATTTACATTGTTTTTAGGTACTTACAAAGGTAAGTACATCTACACGTAAATACATTTATGCATGTGTAATCTGAAGAGCAAATAGCTGAGGCTATATTCTAAGGTGTTTGACCTAACGAACCATTTTTACATCTTAAAAGTTTTAAAATCAAATATATAGGAATCAGTCTTTACTAGGGTATATGTTATCACCAGAGTAATAAAAATCAGTAATGGGATTGGAAATAGTATACCAACTAAGCTAAAGTACATCACTAGTTAAAACACCAAATTATTCAAAATCATTTGTTTTAAGAGGTATACCCCACTAAATTATCTCAATGAGTTTAGTAATAATTTACAGATGACATGTCATATTCCTGTTCTTGCCTTTGTACCTGCTCCTATGCAAAAATTCTCTTCATACTGAATTCCTACAAGTGAATCAAAACCGAGAAATTCAACTCCTTTTTTCTGTACATGGCTATAACAATTCTAATAGCAACAAGACAATCTGAAAGAAATACCTCTATATACTTAAAAAAAACTAGCATTTTATTTGCAAATTTACTTGTAATTACTTTTAAACACAATTCCTGTCCTTCAGTCTTCCTTTTAGGGTGCAATTGCTAAGAAATTTCTTTCCACCGCCTATATTTCATTGGCCTAGCAATTATCCATCTTTTTATAATAACCCTGCCTTGTACTGATACAGGCCTTGTACTGACACAAAGACCTGTAATAAACTAGTCAAATTTGAACTTTCTCTTGGCAGGACATATTGCTATTAAAGGCAAGTGGTTTCTTTTCAATTAAAACTATATTCCTGCCTGTTAGTTACTAAGGTAACTCTGAAAAACTAGTAAAAAAAAGACTTCCACAGGATGTACACATTCTACTCTGCCTACTCAACCAGCACCATAATTTTAAATATTCACTTAGCATCTATGTGTAATCAAACAGGTATCATCTGAGAATATTCCAGTTGCTAAATAGCACCTCATTATGAATCAGTACGATGGCATGGCTCTCTATGAATATTCTAGCATTCTCTACTCAACTCTAGTAATAGTTAGCAGTGATAAAATAGTGTCTTGCCCAAGTAGTTATTCTCATTCTGTTTCACTTTGATTGAAACAGATATTCTTCCGTCGTGTGTAGTGTCACACTGTTATATGGATTCAATGACGTGACCCCCAAGGTTATGATGACAGAGGAACAAAATAATCATTGAGCATCTCTCCTCTGAGA